CATAGTTTGGAAGTGGGACTGTTTTCTTTTGCTTGGGAAATGAGTCATGAACTGCTATTCTCTATAAACACGGTCAACATGATTATAAGACAACTATACGAAGTACCCAATAATGAAGATGTTTTTAATAACGCTCTCAGTCGTGGTATTTTATATTTTAGGATGGAACTGCCAAGGAATGCGGTTATGCGAACAGTGGTCAGGTGACTAACAGCTTTCCACTGATTGTTTTGATCGAATCGATTGCTCGAGGCTATGGTTTAAGGCTCGTTGCAAACGATACAATATGCAGATAAATTGATTTTATTTCATATAAAATATAGTTCTACTCGTAATATATAAATATTGAATTGAGAGATGTTTAAGTTACTCTACTATTTGTTGTTATTCTCTTTATACTTAACACCTAATTAAACGTGGTATATAATTTATACAAGTATTAATTACTAATTTACAAATTTTTAAACTAATAGTGAAAGCACAGTGTGGAATAAATATTATAACAAAAACTGTGTAGTGAGTAAAATGTTCTATCTGAATAAATTGTTCATGAATTTGAATCTGACTAAAATAACTACTATTTAATTCCTAATGGTAAAAAATATATTCCTTTGTATTAACTATTTCAACATTTTTTGTAAATTTTCGTACACATTAGCCTGCATTATTGATATAGCATCTCTATCATAATATGATTAGAAAGTGTTTCGTATCTTTATAGCATAGTTAATCCCCATGTAATTTATGTAATCAAACAAGTTGCAAAAAGCTTCGCCCGTATTCGGCATGTAACGAGACGATAGCGCCCCTATATGTTTCTAATCGTGACAAAAGCGCCCGCGCCTGCGCCGGCGCCACTATCCATCCGCCGCAGGGAAATTAACGGATTTCACTTTTGTTATTCAGCTACAATACAAACATGAAAGATTTTATATCTGAATAACACCTTCCATAATATGTATTTGTATGTGAAAATTAATTTTAAAAATAATTTATTAAATTATGTTTTATTATTTCATTTCTATTAACATATTGCTAGTTGTACACTATATGATATGTATTGGTACTATTATGATAGATTTGATAATTTTAAGAATTTTCCAGTGTATGATGTATCTGTTTTTATTTCATTTATTATAATACTGATTGCATCAACATTTAAAGGCGATACAAGAGAAAAAATATAATCATAGAATTTCGAACTTAATAGATATACATTTATATTTATTATATATATATTATATTATTATAGTCTCACAGTTCCTTTTAAATGAACGAACTTGAGAATGCTTAGGTTACGAAATAAGATCATTATAATCGTGTTATATATAATACGTATTATATACGTTTTGTATAAGTGTTACATTATGGATTCTACTACTGGAACACCGGTCAACTCTGCTCTCAGAGGAATTGCTAGTAACATCACAATACCTTTATTTGGGTCGTTTATGTGATTGGTATTAATTTTATTAAAAATTAAATGAAAATTTAATCACTTTCATTTATTCATTGGCTGCGAAAATACAGATATATATTCCACGGAGTCATCCGAGATGTTTCATATTCACTCGACAAGAAATCGAGAGTAGGTTTGAACAAAAGCATTATACAAATCCGCAATATGTGTAAAGTTTTATGAATTATTTTAATACTGATATGGAGAAAGTGACTCGCATTATTGTGCTCCAATTATGATGTGATGTTTTGAAGTTACGGCAAATGAGTTCGTTACAGACAGTTCACGGTTGTGGTGAGACACGGCGTGACACGTCAGATTCGAGACACGATAAGTCTTGATGTCTGCTCGTTTGTACTCCTATGTGCATACTGGGTCGCTCCCAACTTATTTTAGCTAGGTATCTACTCCTAACGAAGCAGATATTCATCTCTTCATACATATGTAGTGACGTCCAAAAGACTAAGTTTATTGACAATCTCAAAAATTTCACAATGTCTTACATATATACTTTTTATAATTTAAATCTTATTGTACAAAATGTATTAAATACAATTTAATTAAGACTGTTCAACATGTTTAATGTTTTTTCAAATATTTACCTAAATACGTTAATATTTAGGTATTAAACTAATGATGAAACAGGAGGTATATTATAATAATTGTAAATACAACACAATTAGGCCCTTTTGTCTATCTTGCCGATTCTATAATTTATAACAGAATTAATAAAGAAATTATATCAACGTCTTTCTCTCTCTCTTTCTTCATCTGTGTTATATAAATAAAATAAAAAAAACTGAAACTTCTATTTAAGAATTTCCAAATTTTTTAAATCAGAATACCTATTTTTATAGTTACCATCCTACAGCTATTTTTCTTCCCAGTGTGACTTAACAGAATATATATAAATAGTGAATAATATACATTGGAGTAATGCATAGAAAATGCAAGTATAGATGATTATTAATTTAGTTGTAGAATTTGAACTGCAATCAGCTTTTTAACTGTCTAGTCGTAGCTGTCAATACGACTGTCGCACTAACTTTTCTTGTCAAAATACTAGTTTGTAGAACCAGTTGGACGATTGAAGGGCTTGCTCGACCGAACTAGTGCATTATTTATTATGGCGGAGATTTCTCGCGGGCGGTCTATAGATTTCACCACTTTCATCTCGCATTTACGACTACGTACACGCCACATTCTCAAATCACAATATATTTCTCTTTAACTTCAATTGGTAATAACTCATTGTATCTTAGTTAGATATATCTTTAAATTGCCTATGGTAATGACATTATAATCATAATACAAGTAATATAAAGCTAACCATGCAGTACGATTTAACTTAAATATGTCTTAACAGAATGAACATTCTATCAAATTTTACTAAAGCACGCTAAGTAAATACCTATCACAAAAAAAATATTATTGTTTTAATTGAATAATAAATAAATATAATAAATTTTATTTAACAAACCTTTACTAATTTACTTCCTCTTTTATCAAAAACTGCAGAAAAATAAAATAGATTATTACAAAACCAGCAAATTGCTGCAGTTACGAATTGTCGCTTATTTTTTAAGATTTTAAGTTTGAACTTATATAATTATATATATATATACTCACCACTTCAACTGAAATAGATATACAAACATACAAATAAAAAAATATATAACATTTAGGTATAAGTTTCAATATTGTCTATTTACGTAACTAACTTTCATTACAATCATAACTCTCGAGTATAATATTATCTACATGTATCCTAGCTCTGGTACACAGTGAGTACCCTAGGTTAGTGTATACTAAGTTCATAGTCTTCATTACTTTCACTTTCGTATTTTCCGCCTGTAAGTCCCGACACGGAAAGGCATGTTATCGCGAAAATAGTTCATTGTGCGAAGGCTCATTGTTTGCAAGGACGATTTCACCGCGACAACAAAGCGCGAGTAATTTACTTGGGTAACAGAATTATTTTGTGACATCATAATGTTAGTTGAGACAATGGTTTACACTTACTACTTATAGTAGGTATATATAGATACATTTCTTTTTCAATTTCATCACAATACAATGGAGTATAATTAACTTATATTATAATTCACTTTTGTAGATTTGGAAAGGCGTTGAGCGTAGGTATTACGATGAAATATAGAAACAAAGATCTTTCGTTATATCATTCATAGACCTTATGATCTTATATTACCAGTTTAGATTAAAAGTTTCATCTGGACTTTTCTTTTGTAAAAGCTAGAGATTCTGCAAAATATATTCAAAATTAGTTCCGTTATGACATTGAATTAAAATGCTTACACACTAGAATATCTCCATAACCGTCAATAACTTCAACACGTTTTTTAAACCGTATAACTTGCTAGTAATAGACGGTAACACTTACCTTAGAATCTACTGCATAAACATCGTTAGTTATGTTGATAATCGCAAACTTAATCTGCCTGAATATTGAGTAACTATGATTGACACTAGTATATTGGTAATCATGTAGCTTGTTTTACACAATAATAAAATATAAAATAAGTCATAATTCACTTTGCCTGATAATCAATTTATTATTTTATCTACGATAATAAAGCTTATACATCCATTATATGCAAGTTGCTGTACATTTGTAATAGCAACTTGCATATAATGTAATTTGGTTTCTATTCTGTTGGGCCGTTATGGCGTGAATTATATACATACATTTATATCATAAACGTATATATTTGTACTTATTTTAATCGAAATTAAAACAATAGATTATTCTCCAATATTTACATTATTTTATTTTATATGTGAAGTGTGATAATTATTAATTATTAAAAACGTCCCGATGCAGAAGTACGAAGTAAAAAGCAATTTAGATAAAATCTTCTTTAACAAATAAACAGGTGTAGCACGTTTATATGAATGTCATGTTGTCGACTTGGTGCCAATAAGCTGTATTGTTTTCAAAGCATGCAAATGTAGGTATTTGGGTGAAGTCATGATTTCTGCTATCTAACTAACAGTGAAAAGAGGTTGGATTCTTTAGCTTTTATTTTATTATGTTCGATCGCTGTCGTTTAATATATGTAGATATAATGGGAAAGTACTGTTTAATATTATCAATACTGAACATTGAAACTAATTTATAATACTTCTATTTAGAATTGTAGTATTTCGACTTTCAATGCTTTTTCGGTGTAATAGTTGTATTAATATAGTTCATACTTATTTCTTATCAAAAAATATTATCGGAATTGTATTATTTAGTAGATATTTTCGTTAAATGTATATTTATATTATAGTCGTCAGAAACAACAGAATGTTAATAGTATCTATTTTTAGCATTCAATACTAGAGTTGTCTACATAGTCTTATGCTCGCTAGCTATGTTAGATGGCTATCTACTTTTCGAAAACATTACCTACAATTCAAAATCGAAATATACCTACAATGATTACGTATTGTGCCATTATTGCAGACTTAGAATTCAAATTATATAATAGTATTTGTTAATTTTATTTATAATAACAGTGAAATAATATTGTTACAGGTTTTCAAGATTCTGGTCACATACAAATATATGCCACCGAGATAATACTTCTGTAAGTACTGAATATGTGATATAAATAAATAAATAATATAGAAATATGATGTTAGGAAAATATTAAATGAATACTATTTTGGTTTATGACGCAAGTAATTAGGTAAAAATAATTTAATCATGTTTCACAAAAAAATACTGACCGAAAATTGATTGTTGTTGACCAAAAAGAAGTAAGAGTTTTGAATAATAGTACCTATAACATCAATATCAAATTAAGTAACACAGCAAAATATCGAAGTAATTTTTCGAGTCTGGCTCGCCTTGCTTTATTTATTCTACTAAGCTACTACTGTTATGTTATAATTATCTCTTAGATTTTTAATATCATAATCTTAGTTTTTATCATCATACTGTAGTAGGTTTTGGTTTATACTAACCGCCTGCCTTGGAAATATCTTGAATAAATTAAAAAAAGGAAAGTTCCGAAATGGAATTTTTATCAATTCTCAAAAATTATCGTATATATTTTGGCAGTTGATAGGGTTATTGTTTCTCTGTTAATTATAAACAAACTCTCAAATTCTAAATAAACGATCATTAATTCATATGACATTTTAGTCACATGTGCAAGTCAAGTTTTATTTTTTTCCCTAACACCAAATTCAGTCAAATTTAAAAGAACTGTATTAAAAAAAGGCATTTTTTATAAAAAAAAACAAATTCAGTTTGAGCTAAAATTTGAGTTACCTCAATAAGAAAAGAATGTAAACAAATTGGCATTATTTATTACAGTAAAGGAAATAAACATTGCATGAATTTAATACCAATTTTGCTGAATAAATTTATTTGATGAATGAATGAATTAATGTTACATTTTTGTGGAACATAACCTTCAATTATCCATTTCAAGTGATTTGATACTAAATTATTTTAGAAATTTATATTGATTATAATTAGTCGTTGTGTAACTATTCGAAATTTCATTTTTCCTAGTCTCTATATCAAATTGTGCAACATTTGCTCGTTAAGAAACGGAAGCGCATGCTATAGTTTGTGCTCAGTCGATCATTTCTCGCCAAAATGTATCAACTTTCTCTCGGAGTAATTACCTATGTGTACGGCGAGTATGAGGCGATTGCGTAATACGGCTGTAGTAAGGCCATTTTGTGTAGCTCGCGGCGTTCGGCGTTCGGCGTTAGCCAGTGAAAGTAATGGCAATACTGAAGGATTATGGTCAAGATACTTTAATCAACTTTTTACATTAAATAAAAACACTTAATACTACATTAATAAATTAAATAATATTACTACGGTAACAGCGAAATTCAATTCTTAAATTATGTTTTTCAATTACTGTTTTTTTTTATGTAATACCACAATAGTTTAAAGTATTTTATTATAAGACGATCAATAAATAGGTGTAAAAGTATATTTTAACCTTGAGTAACTTACTATTAATATTTTTTAATTTGTTACGAAATCAATACAGTAGTCATACATTACAAACTTTTAAATAAAAATAAACACATTTACATTGTTTTCGCATATACAAAATTAAGACTTATTTAGTTTATTTGCGAAGGAGACATACAGTAATTATAATAAAATAATCACGGCAACTGTTTACGATTTTAAAGTTAATTTAAATCTTTGCGTATTAATTATTTTATAATACTTATATTTATTGAACTATAATAAAACTATAATGGTATCAAATTTTTTTTATTATGGTGTAGATACATAAATAGTCATACATCTTCAAACGGAACTATACTTCGTATATATCTATAAATATATAATAGAAAGTATTGACCCTGAGAATAAGAATAGATGATACGGAGTCATTGTCCTTAAATTGATATCCGCATACTGATTTCGTAACAATTTAATAGCAAGCAAGCAGGGCCAATTGGTCGAGGTTACGATGCGCCTGAGAATGGTGTACTGACCGCGACGGACCCATCAATTATCTCACGGTGTTGCGCAACATAGGGAGCGACGCCCTCGTCCTTGAGACCGTAAATCAACTTTCTCTTCCGCTGCAATGGGCCAGCGCATCCTACCGCCACATAAATCTTTTTCATAATGTTCACACTCACCGGGTGTGAAGATTACTTGCAACGATAATGTTCCCAAGAACTACTGCAGGTTTCATGTCCACTGCCTAGTTAGAAATTACTATAGTCGTAGACGATGAGCAGTAGTGTAACATTTATGTTATCTAAGTGATGATCAGTTTTATGGGAACATTCTATAATAAATAATGTTCTAGTGAGACAACTTATTAGAACTTATTAAAATTTCAGATTACATGTACATGTAATACCCTTAATTGAACTTTGTTCTATATTTTCTTTATTGCCCTAAATAATATCTACATAAGTATAATAATACAATTATTAGATACTGTGTCCGCAATTACAGCCGCATGAAATTTATAGTCCATATGTTACTCTGACGTATAAAATTTCATAATTGTTCAGTAGTGTTTCCGTGAAAGAGTAACAAATATCTATCCATCCATTTATATTCGCAAGCTTTCGGGTTTATAGTATTAGTATGTAATATTATGTTATCTGTGGTATTAGTAATATGCAACTACTAGTCTTACTCAAATTATTTTCAATACATGCTTATAAAATAAATAGCAATAATGATAATTTACATAGTTACCGGTGAAGTAATAATTTTCTAGGTCAACAGAAATAATCTTATAGGTCAACTATTCAAGTCAGCATAAAATAGTTTTTTATAAAATTAATGTATATTGGAAAATATGCCGTAAAGTTTCCGTGACACTATCTTTATCGCTACAAGCTTGTAGATGCCTACCTATACGCTTCCGAAATGCGCACTCGCTATCAGTCAATACATTTTACTATGTGAATGACATACATTATAAATGTGTATTTAGATATATTGAGCGATTATATAAAGAAATATATCACCTTATCTTTATCTGTATAAAATGAAGTCACTTCCAATTCTGTTCGCTTAGATCTTTTAAACTACGCAATGGATTTTAATGCAGCTTTTAGCAATAGATAGAGTGATTCAAGAGGAAGATTTATATGTATAATACATGTATTTGTAAGAATCTAGGGTAGGTAATAATAGATAAAATATTGCATTGAATTTGTGTCGTATTATTATTTGTTAAGAATTATGTTTCTAATTAATATGTCTAGCCCGTTATGCACATTAAATGACTGGGATCTTAGTCCTCAGGAATGATAACGTATGAGAGTAAGTTGTCTTAGGCGTGACAATAAATTTTCTATAGTGCTGTTTAAAGCAATAGTTACCACTTTCCATCAGGTAAACCATTAGGCCGTTTGTCATTCTAAAGCGGCTTTGAGAAAGGGATTAATCAATGATACATTATTTTCTCGTCATTAACTTCGCATATCCTCTCCAAATTTGGCTCTAAGGGAAAGAAAGTGCACTGTTATGTGATAGCCGGTATCAGTTGTCTTGAAGAGTACAGACATATTTTCTCCCAGCGGAAGTTACGCCCATACTATGTACTTATTTGTACTACACATCCATGTATCTAATAACTAGTAAAAGAACTTAACTATAAAAGATATAGATGTATTATGTGAACGTTTTAACATTTCACTAGGAAAGAAAATACAGCAATAGCCTGTAGGATTATATTATATGTAACAGGGTTTTTACTTACATATAATATACATTTTTACTTACATAATATATATTATTATAAAGCTGAAATGGTAAACAAACTTACGGCACGCCTGATGAAAAGCGGCAACTTTTTTTTCTTTTAATAATAATAACCATAGAACATGTCACACAGCGTCCCAAACTAAGTATAGCCTATTTAGGGGTACTAGACAACTGATATAAATAAATAAAATAGTTTTTTTTATTAATACACACATAATATACATTGGTAACACCTACACCACCAAGCAATCATACTAATGAAACAAATATTTTTACCGTGCGAGGAAACGAAACCACGACCATCGGAATTAAGGCAGTGCGAAACCGTCAGACCAACTACGCCTAGATAATATAAGGACTACGAACATTACGTCATAATTTATTATAATAATTTATTTAACATAGCATAATACAGAGTGAAAAATATAGAAGAACTTGAAAACTAATATCGCGCTATGAACTTGTCACTGCAGCTCTGATGCCATTGCTTTGAAGCATGCGTTGCTATACCTAAGTACTAAAGTGTCATGCTACTCTAGTCTGAAGTTCATTCAAACGAATAATGCTAACTGTTAGTATGCGAATCAGAGGCATCCCTTTCAGACGAATATGTACAAAGTTTAAATTTTAGGGGATGGACTCATTGATTAAATGTAAATAAAGACAACCGGGTTACCGTTGGTCAACTTACTGAAGCTGGTTCCCCTGACGTCGCATACCTCTGACATCGGCGCCTTATTGCATTCGAGTTAATTTAATGCTAAACGCCGTGGTGTCGGCGTGTTCTGTATATCTATTTATACTAGATCGCGTAAGCGTGCTCCCTTTGCTAGTGAAATGTGGCTGAGTGATATGTAAATTAAGAGAAATTTCCATATCTATCTAGCTATGCTTGTTGGATATCCGTCAGCTATTGGCGTCAGCATTGGTGTAGATCAGTACTTTGTTCAACATTTGCATGTTACACTCATCAATAATATAGTCGGCCTCGGGTCGGTGGTCTAGCGGTTTAGCTTTCATTACTTTCGATTGTCGTGGGTTCGATTCCTAGCACGGTGCAAACATGGGTATTCATGAGTATGATTGTTTGTATAGGTCTGGGTGTTTTCTATGTATATTATGTATGTGTTTACAAAAACAAATATATCTAAGTATTCATATCAGTTATTTATTTGTACAGTAGTTTATTATAGGTATATTCGGTATATAAAATTAATTTTATAATGATGAATTTGATCCAGAACTTAGGTTATTTATGGTATAGTATCTTCGCAGTGTTGTGTAATATTTAAAACATAGTATTATAAATTACATCACCTAATTATATACCACACGCTAATTTGTTTAGCAGGCCTTTAATCTTGTAGA